ATACTGTCTGTACCTTGAGACTTAGAAAAGAGCGAATTTAAAGTGGTCATAACGATCCAGAAATATCAAATCTGGTTAATCGATCAAGAACAAGGCAACGCCGTCATTTTATAGAAGCGGAATGCGCAACGTTTTTCGATTGTATACGACGGCGATGAAGATTTAAAACGTAAAGATGTTTTGGCGTGGGACCCAACGCAATTGAGAATACATCAGCCCGTGGTGTTTGAGCACCATCGATCTGTTTTCAGAAAAGGTAAGATCAAATTCGAGAGACCCATTTTGCCTCTACTGACTTAGAAAAAAAAGATCTTCAGCTACACTTTACAAAATGATTGATTTTTTGAAAAATAAGACTCAGCAGCGGAAAATGAACTTCAACAATGCTAGAAGACATCGGTTCAGCAAAAATGCTGGGCTGATCGTGAGCACATTCGGTTAGGCTATCGAAAGCGTCGAATACTGCATTTCACTGAACAAGAAAGCCAGCTCACAGCAGCATGTAATACGGCGCTTGCAGCTGACACATGAAGCGACGTACTTACTGCATTCCATTGATCGTCTACCCATTCTGAAGCTCCAGATCGTTGTGTTATAATACAAGTAAATGAGTAAAGAGCTGAGCTTATCATCGAGCATTAAGGACTAAAGAAGAACGTGACAAGGTGCTACATTTGTAATAGTGCCAACAAAAGATTACTTGAAGGCGTTAGATCAATTTAAACACATGGCACAATTACTTGAGTGAAAGACATCCGCTACCACCAGTAACGGCGTGTCATCACTACCACGAATGGAAATTGTTATCTCTGCTTGGCCTTGCGTACAACACCTTGCTTCGCAAGGACCTGAAACGATCAGCGAGCGCCTAAAGGCTTTTTCAAGCTGTAAAAATGCTCTGCCAGAGCCCCTACAGCAGAAGATGTCGGCGTCGACAGTGTCCACGACGCACCAGTCGATGACCCCCCCCCCGACCCAAGCCGCTCATGGTGACTGTTAAGACCTTCGAAGGCAAGGAATAAGGACTTTTCTGCTGTTAGTGAGAATGGAGTTAACCATGGCTTTCGCAATGCTCTAGACCGAGCATTAGCGCGTGGTGCTAGCTATCTCCAAGCTCGATGGTCGAGCGCAAGAATGGGCACTCAAATGCGGCACTTCGGTCGAAGCGGAGTTTCCCTCGTGGATGAAGCTGAAGCTACAGCTTCAAGTGTGTCCTCACCGCCTAACCAGGCATATCGCGTGCGATCGCTTTTCCTTGCCGCCTAACAGGGCAAAAATGAATTGGTGGACGTTGTCCAAGAGTCGCGTACTCGCATTGCCGGTATGACAGCCGATCCTCTTCCCGAGGCGGTCACGGTGTCCGTTTTTATGAAAGGCCTCAGCACTGGCGTGACCAGAATGAACACTCATCTTCATTGAAGAAGCCGTGAATGTGGCATTGAATGCCAGGTTCAGCCTTAAGTCGGCACGACTTGGTTGGAATGCACATACTAGCTGCTCGTCGAGCAGCCTGACCTGATGCATCTCAGCCGAGGAGACAGAGCTCCAAGCTGGTGAGTATAGTTCGAACACCCAACAGTGTTTCATCTGTGGAGACACCCTTAGCCTTCAGATTGACTGTCCCCCTGCGCAAGGCGCGTCAGAGTTCATCGAGCCGACGTCCCGCTTCTAACCAGTCTGATTTGTCACGGGGAAACGACAGCACCCAGTAGGCCGCCTCGCGCCTACTGGGGGAGAACTGAGTTCTGCTGATCCTCAAGGAGGAAGACGTTAGCAGGGCCCAGTCCTGAGAGCTCCGTGCTCTTGAACACAAAACTTGTATGCAAGCCAGGCTTGCTGGTCGTGAAAGCGACCTTGAAAAGATTTGAGACGCCATGGAAGATCCTGATCGACTCGGAAGCGTCGGGCAATAATGCATGACGCTCTACGATGGGAGGAAGTCAGCTGTATACCGAGGCACTGAAAGCGCGGTTGAGTGACATCGTCATTGTTCGCTCTGCGATGGGGACATGTGTCACGGTGCCGAGGGTCTCTGTGGACCTCGGTATAACTTTCTTGACTTGATAGCATGGACGGCTGCTTAGTCTCAGACTTGGATTCAAGGTATGACCTCATCCTTGGTATTGCATAGCTGGAACCCCATGAGTCATGGATCGACTAGAGGTCAAAGACCCTGGGCGCTACGCGCACGTCTACTCTTTGGTGAGTCATGAATCCACCTCTTCGAGTAAGCAGAAACGTTATTGGTGCGAGCACTGAACCGAGACGGTCGACGTGCTAGAGATCGGAGTATCTAACCAATCATTTGAATATTGCTGGGGCATTGAATAGTCCTTATGGCATTACAAGCCACTCCCATAACATACCCGAAGGTGTACTTACAGTACATCCTCCTCCTTCAGTAAGATTCCGTCAACTAAATCAAGAACACTCAAAGTGAGCAATAAGAATCATTTGGATCCTTCAAACCAGCAGATCCTCTGCGTGATTTCACACGCTGTCAAATTCTTCGAGAACCGAGGTATATATAACTGATGAAGAGCGTTGCTCCGCTGAATCGACCGTCGACTGTTGCAACACGACCTACGCAATACCATCACACATAAAGTCGTGTAGGAAGTCAACTAAGAGACATCTTCAAGCTGCACCTGCTTTTCCATTGTCGGTAAAGGCTTCAATAGAACATTTGTTTTGGCAACTTCACAACCATTATTTGCATCCGCAATACGAGAACCAACATAATTGCATGCCGTACGCCGGACTCACTCACCCGCGGACTAAACCGCTCCAGAGCGGGAGTATTGATACCGCGATCAACACATCCGTTGATTCCTTCACATGTGTGTGATCAGGCGAACAACGGGTAAAGGCATCATCTTTATGGTCTGTTATACTAACTGACCCACAATTCGACTTGACCACTGTATCAGTGGTAGTAGTGGCATATACAGCCGCATCGATTCCTCTGACTTCCTAGTATATACATGTCGACAAATTTGGAAAAGTCAACTGCACCAATGTAGTGTGAATCATTACCTACAGCATTTGTCTGTCGATCGCTTAAACGCTTCTGCCTGTTCAGAGTAAATGTGGATTCATTACCCCCGAGGGTTTCACCTACGTCAGACGAGATACTTCCAAATCGTTTTCGATCGCCAATCAATCCATGGCTCATGCATCTCAAGCCACGATATGCCTAAAATGTGGTCATATCGTTTGTCCATCTTGAAAACTGTAGATACTTTCTTCAAGTTTAATTTTCATTGAAGATCAACCATACTTTCTTTCGTGATGACCACCGTACTGGTGGCCATCTGCACTTAGATAAAGCATCCCAAAGGACTAATTCATTTCCGCAACACTTTGCTTCGGCGCGTACTCTTGCGACGGGCCGAAGTCAATCGAGACTCTAAACGGACGATCGCAACCCTTCACACACGCCGTGACCACGAGAAGAACACTCCGACTCGTGTCATTAACGAAGGTCACCGATCCTTAGCGGGCTAAATCTCATGAGTGATTCTACCAATACACCCACAAAAGCTTATAACTACCCAAATAGACCTCCCTGCATCTACTGGGTTTCAGCGTTTCCCGAATGCTTCACGGTTTTGGATTCACATGACTGGGAACCATTGTGACGATAACCGTATTGAGAGTTCGTCTCTCACGTGGTCATAAACGATGAATGGTTGGCATCCATCACAGCGAATGCTGCCTACGGACAGTCACCACGCTAAGATCCATTATCTCCGGATTTTCAGTAGCAACAGTCACTGCTTTCATCGGGTTGACCGATTGACCACATGCTTGACGCTGACAGTAGTCCTTACGCAATGCAAATCATAAAATCTTCTTACAGAGTTGTTGAGTTCTGGCCGAAGATTTTAGACTTAAAAGGACGATAAGGGAGTCCATCCTTAAACACAGTGACCATCACTGCCTCTGACAGTGTATCGCTTGCCATACTGGCACGAAGCTCACGGGGCTTCTGAACATAGTGACACATCCTTAACACTCGATGGATGTTTCTTTACAACAGGTGTCTTGACGGCATGACAAAATCTCCGATCGTTGTCGAATGCCACCTTCGGCCGAAGGAACATTGATATCATGACCTTCTTCATATCGGAGACCGCGCTATGTCCAATCAAAGCTCACCGCTTCACCTCACACTCCCATTTCGAGTGTGTAAGGAGCAAATATTCCTCCCTAGGGATCCGAAGACGACTACCGTCTGTAGTGTTCACATTATCCATCGATAAATCCATCGAAGTAGTCGGCGTTGGAATGACTACTAGTGCTACCAAGTGTAACGGAAGTTGCCCGTCAGTGTAGACGAAGTTACTGAGGATGCCATAATTCGGTTAACACCCCTCATCGCGTGTTGCTCACCTCCAGCGAGCCGCTGCAAGAGGTGGAAAGGATGAAGTGATATTTATTATAGCCAAAAGAACCTTTAACCCCCCTTGACTGATAAGTGCCATCAGTTAGAATTGCCATCAGTTAGAATTGAGGGATATACAACTATACAGGATATATAGTGAATGTTAGCCACACACGAAAAGTTCCCATAACATTTGTAACCCGTCCAGGTAACCTTGCTTATAAGGTCTAAGGCATTCATCCCGAAACGGAAGATGAAGAAGGAGTGCACACTGCGAAGTCGTGTTCAGGCGCAGTTCTGGGTACGATCAAAATGCTACTATTCTCTTCTCGCTTAGCATTCCCCCCCTTTACTTCCTACGCTGCCTACCCCTCAAGCTGTCTTGGTCATGCCTGGCCTTGCCGTTGAACTCACAATAATGACCCGAGGCAATGATGGCGCCAATTGATGTTGTATTTTGAGCTCAGTTGTGTGTGCCTTGCCTACTTACAGCGTGGCACGCTCCAAAAAAATCTGTCGACAAACTCCAATCTTCAAGCTTCGTGACATACACACTGAGCTTTGCGTTAGACAGGGGCTTGATAAACAAGTTCGCCATCATGACCACTGTCGCTCAGTAACGGATATCAACCTCTCCAAGCTGCACTTGCTCACGGATCCGAAGGTAAAGAGGTTCGATGTGTCGTGAGTGTTGCGAGACGCCATTGCCTTCGGCGATGTGTTGAGCCGCTTGGTCAATCACGTCGCCAGAATCAAACTCCGACTCGAGAACCAATTGCTTGAGACCGATACATTCTTTGATCCCATAAGCTAGCGCAACAAAATCCGGATTCATTGTCGACAGAGAGACGATCAGCTGCGTCATCGATCCTGTTAAGAACTGCGAATTTTGAAGATCACTTGAGATCTCTCCCACATGCAAAAGCAGCATCACAAAAGACAAAGAGTAGTAGCCCGTTCTTGAACAAAACACAAGACCCATATCTGTTGTCTGTTCTAGGTACCCAGCTACTCGGATAGTTGCGGCTTCGCGGTTAGCGTTGGCTATTCACTATCTTGAGCAGCAAGTTGAATTGCTGAAGCAATGTCTGGATGGCGTACTGTCGGTTATAAGAGTCTCGTAGAGCACACTCATCTCCGCTTCAGGTTCATGATGCAAAAGGAGACTTGCCAATCTTTTAGCTGCACGGTTCCACAATAATGGACTTAAATGTGAATTGCGTGTCGACACTCCGCTGGCCCTCAGCACTATTTTTACGTCGCGAGCGTTGAGATACCAAAACCTGGTGTGTTAGATAAATTACTTAATATTTTATCATTCCCAGACTTTCAGCGAAGTTATCCATATCGGGCTCGAGCTAAAGTAGAGAGCGCAAGAGACTGAAAGATACCGAATAGTCAAACAGCCGCAGACTTTGAAGTGACACGCATTCCTAAACAGGCGACAATAACGGACACTAACACTAATGAATAAATGACCCAAAATTTTATCTACTACGCCGTTAACTAACGCATTTTCCTAATAACATACAGCGCAGCTATCACAATCGACACAGATGAAGCAGCAATACGCATCGTCTTTTCAGTCGCCGAGTGATTCGCAATGGTCAACGTATTAAACTTTACGCTTTGCAATAAAAAATGCTTGGCATACCGAAAAAGTGGCACTGTCGTCTTCATATCGAGCAATTGCACAAATCGCAGGAACAGTGCGAAACAGGCAACCGAACTCAATGCCGACGAAGCGATGAAGTGAACGAAGATAACAAAAGCTTTACGACTATTTTTGGAAGCATACAATTGCATCACTAATAAAGCGCTTGAGATTGCGGCAGTTCGATGTAACATCCT